AATAATAATATTAAAAAAAAAAAAGATTTTGTATATATTGTACTGGAATTTTATTATGTATTCTCTTTAGATGCATTGAATTAACGGTTATCTTTACTCGCGCAGTGAAATGTAATAATTGATATTACTGTTGTACCCGGCGGCTGGCCCTGATTGTCCCCCAACATTTCCCCAAGAAACAATGCGCGCGCATTGCACTTGTGCACGACTGTCCCGACGGTGGTCCCTTATACTTGTCGGAAACAATAGGCATTATGTGTCGCGGCACACGCTCGACAACGGTTTCCCCCCCCCGACTTGTTCAAACTAGTTATAACCGCTGTTCTCTCCTACGTGCCGCTGACGAGGAGAGCAACAATTACGTTAATGCATTGTCTCGTGTTCCGTCGCTTAACGACTCGGCGCCCCCATCGACGTTTTGCACTCTCGCAGATTGAATTAAATCGAATTACAGGAAGTCGCACGTTAAAATCATTGTCACGCGAATTGCATTGTCGCAGTTATCCTATAATTCATCGTCTTGCCCCAAGTCGAATCAAGCATCTCGATTGTGGCACGACGCGCTAAGCGCTGTGAAATTCGGTCGTTAGCGAAGAGGGGAAAATTGGACGAGATGAAAATTTATTTTTTAACTTTCCCGATTTTGTACATATAAAATATATCTCAAATACGTATATCAAAACTCTTTTTCGCTCATCAGTCAATTATTAAGTTTCACCCATTCATTTATTTTGAACTGACATAAAAATAATCATTTTTCCAATACAAAAATATCGATCCTTTTATCTCGGATATATATAATTAATTGATCGATTCCTGTCGCGCGTATTTGAAATCAAAGTCTACTCACCGGTGTCGTTGTCTCCCGGAACCCCGAGACTGTCGCTATTGTCATTGATGAAGGCCTCCGCCGTTGACGTGAATGTTTGAGGTGATAGCGTGAGGTCCGGCCCGCTCTCACTATCGAACAACTCTAAATTTCCATTTCCTGAAACACGAAGATAAAATATCGAGATTAACTTCATGTGCGCCGACAAATTTTTTATCTAAATAAAATCAGCTAGCTTTGATTGCGAATACAAGATGTGATCGATAGTTATTAGAATTATCAGAATTGACTAATTAATAAATAATAGTTAACTATTATAAATAATCTTTCGTTTATCAGAAACTAATTTTCAGAGGTGATTCTTACACGATCGAAATACTAGCAACGTCTTTCGGCACGCGCGTCAAAACACATCCATTCTCATCCGCGGGCGGCAACAAACTGATATGGATATTAAATTACATAGTAATACAAAACACGCTCGACTGAAAGAACACGACTAACAAAAACCTCCACCCTCGACGCCGATTGTCTCAGTCGATCTTACCCAATGCCAGCCTGTGCGACCTTGCGTTATTGATGAGTGTCAACAACGGGCGGTATCAACAAACGAACAACATCTTTGCGTGCCGAATTCTTGTGTATTATGAAAATAATCTGCTCAATAAGCGCGACGCGTACAATTTATATTTCCACATGGCGTTTTCATAATTATGATTATCGATTCTTTTATATATTATCGATTAATAGAAACTTAGAATTCTATTTCCCTCCCTTTCGAAATATTTTTATATACTTATACTTTTAAACAGTTATTAAAGAAGATAAAAGCATTTTATAAGAAATAAAAGAAAATCAATCTAATATATTAGCACAAGTATTTGAACAAGAATGGAGAAAAAACAGAGCGAGAGAAGGAAATTCTTTATATATCTAGATCTTTAAAAAAAAAAAAAAGTCAAAAAGAAAGGAAACATTCCAGTTATTTTACAAATTTAAGAAAAATTCTTAAAAGTATATTACATATGTATCTGTAAAAATTTAAAAATACTCATCTATGCATTCTCACTGTTATTAGCGTGCGATAAAATTATCTATTACGAACTAAACGAGAATTTCTCAGCTGCACCAAAGCAGCATAGCTTGCATATCTTTCGCATATCTCGCCACTACACCGCAACAACGCTGGAGCACACTTGAAAGATCTCGCAGGCAGTAGAGATCTCTCGAGACTCCGGATGGTTTCTGCGATAGGGTAGAAACGGCTGCGCACCAAACTTTGTGCATTTTAGGGTATTAATCAATCTCACTTACATTAAGTACAATCCCGTCTTGTTTCTTAGTTAACGATATTTTGATAAACCGATATCGGATCGCGTAAGATGATCATCGTCTTAATGTAATTATCCAGAACACGCGCATAACCATTTAATTTTCTAATTAACAAATATGAGGTATAAACAAAGAGAGTAATCAATATCTAAGCAAGCAATACATTTTAAATGCAATAAATTTTATAAATTTTCTCTTAAAAATACAATCATCTTCTATTAATCTTTTTTTTTTTTTTTTTTTTAATTTTCTCAATGCATATATACAGGTATTTAAAGTTATTCTTTCATAAAGTCTTTGTGCAGAATTTTAAAATTATTTATAATCATGATATCGTAAATTTATTTTATATCTTTCCTCTGTATATATAGATTTTAAAGATTATTATTTAAATAAAATTTATACGAGCGCTATGTATTCGCACTGCAGAGATAGATAAAACGAAGAGTACCCTGAAAAGAGTACTCTGTAAAACCGATTACGATCAATAAAACAACCGGAATCAGTAAAAAAAGAGAAAGGTACGCATTCCTATTCCGTTCGATGAAGAATGGAGAATTAATCTGGTACGATTTTACGACTTATTACGATTCAAAGGGCGTGTTTGGCGAACGCGTGACGACGCAAAAGGAGTGTAGTAGAATCGCGTCGTCCTCCACCGCGCGTCTGTCCGATTCGTTTCGACGTGGCAAGTGCGCGGCGAAGTTACGACATACTCGAAGCACCATGCGACGAATGGGCCCCGTAAATATTTGACGACAATTTGATCTGCACGAGTCGAGACTTAAATCCCCACGGGGGGTACGCGGACGAAAGCGGCTTACGGAAGCTCCGTCGTCTCCATGACTCTTCGACCCTTTCACTCATCATCGGGCTTACACATCTCCGGACTCGTGGAAAATATATATCGATACACAATGCGAACGTTGATCCGGTCGAGTAATATTGTCTAGAGGGTATCGATATATCCTCTAATAAGCTTTAACAATAACGCGAAATCGCATTCCCTCAGATCAATCAATTAACGTTGCAATCAATAAAATACCGGTATAACAATAATCAGTATATGGTGGATATCATTTTCGCGAAAACTTCAAATAGAGATATTGGCATTATATTGATATTTATTTTATATACTAATAATATTTTATATATAATGATATTGACAATATATTAACATATATATTGACATATATAGTAATCTATTAATATATTAATTATGTATTATAAAATGTTGCATAATAATATTATATATGTATGTATCTACATTGTAATAGTTTTGGGAAAACGTTGTCAGGATGTGTAGTTAAGACTGGAGTAGGCCAAACACATAGTTTATTACAGAGATTTGGAATACACATCCGAAAAGATCGAAGGAAGAATAATAACTCGACTTCTTATTTATAACAAAACAAACGCTTCCTAGAGATCCAACGGTTAAACAAAATAAAGGGAACTATAGTAACTGTCTAGGAACTCTATCTCTAAATCTAGTTCTAATAGCTATTACATACACATGTCAATGATATTAGATACAATTGTTTAAGTATTAATTATAATTACTTGTTATATATATATATTTATTTATTTTAAAAAAAAAGTTGAAAACAAATTAATTCTTAAACAAAAAATATCCAAATGTCCAAAATAAAAAAAAAATAAAAATAAAAAATGGGAGACAGCGTGCTGTGATTACACAGATGCGACAAAAGAATATTTCGTCTAAAGCGACACTTGTTTATCCCCGCGTTAATATCATTTATATCCGATGTATTTCACTTCCCCGGAAGACAAATTAGTTCACTCGGAGAGAGACATTCCGATAACACCGCGTTAGCGACGTCGTTCCTCGCCCTCGTTCTCCACTTACGTCGTTAAAGTGCGCATCCAGCCGTACTGAGAGAACGGCTATGCCGCGAGGTCGGAGAGAATGAGAGGGAGAGAGGAAGAGAAAACGCATTAACATACCTGCAATATGCATGCGGGGTGGTGCACTTGTCCGATTCGACGTTGCAGCGCGTGCGGGGGCTTACACGGGAATATTCGCGTTAATTCAAAGCGATGGTATGCGTCCGCCGCGGATTAATATATTCCGGATTATCCGTCTGTGTTTGCGTTAATGCTCGCGCCGTTGGGTTAGTTAAATATGTAAATATAAGCGGCATGCGCAACGGCTACGCCGGACATTATGCCTAGTTACAACGTCGACGTGTGGCAGAAGGAGGGTGATCGCGATTGTGCTTGCAAAAAAATATACGACGTGACGAAGGATCGGAGATATTGATGCAAATTAAGTGTCAAAAGACATGCACACATATTCACTCTCTTTGAATGCGATCAACATAAATTAAGAAATTCGAACTTTCTTGAAAATTACGACGCGGACAAAAAAATATGCGTTATACATAATTGGGGATATTAATGATAAAGATGTGATTTTAGACTTTCAAATAATAAAATGAGATCTAGAGATAATAAACACGAATACAATATATCAATATATAGTCTTTGCACGAAACAAAATAGAGAAACCTGCATACGAGCTAACGTTACAATTTCAAATTAAATTTTTGTTCCCTTTCTTCACCGCCTATTAATCATCGTAGCGATACATTTAGCTTCGAAGAACGGGAGTATTACCACGGCCTTCTGCAAGTAATAAAGGAAGGATTACGCGGCGCGTAATGGAAAATGGCGGTTGCGCAACATCCTTCGAAAGAAAGCGCGAAAGAAAAATGCAATTCTCTCGCCGTTGTTATTAACATCCCGATGCCCGGTGTTGCTTATCAGAGTACATATTATGAATGTATTTTGCAGCTAGCGTGCAACACGTAGCGCTTGAAGCAAACCGCATACAATTAAGTCAAGTTATATTTGAAAATGTCAAGATATATTAAAATATTTTCTTCATCTAATATTTAATACACTATGTAATATGCAATAATATAAATGACGAAACATATTACGTGCTCCACGACAATTTTTCAATAACAGCATTACACTTTTTATAAAATACAATATCGAAATAACAGAGGGAAATTTATTTAACCGAAGCGAGCGCTAAACGACGTCGGTGCAGTCAGGCATTGAGAGCCATTCGCGCGGGGCGAGGAAGAGCGACGGAACGAGGAGAGAGGAAGCCACACGACGTTGATCGTTGCCGGCGTGAGAAAGGGGCGGAAGAGAGGCGCCGGAAGAAGATGTATGCGACGATATATAACGTACATAATGATTGTTAAAAATAACGGTAAAATAATAATGTGCATACACGCGAAAAATAATATTTTTTAATTGAATTTTTTACCGCGGTGCGAGATAATAATAATTGCGAAAGAATTCCGTTAAAAAGCAGACCAAACTGGTATACTGTAATCCCCCGATACACGTGTCTATTTGACGATCGCTCGGTTTTCGGTCGCCGTATCCCGCCGGATATAATTTCATTAAAAGCATCATATTTCAACGTTCGGTAAACAGAGCCGCCGCTTATTTTACGGCCGGACGCGAACATAAACGCTCTCGTTTATCGTGCAGATCGACCGAAATAGTGCATTCCGCGCGCGAAACGCAAATGCGCGAATGCAAGCGCGCCTCAGCTGATATTCGAGTTCTTGCAAATTTTATTGCGGCGAAAATCGAAAGAGAACCGAAAAAGAGAGGAATGCGTTTAATTATAAGCGACACCGGCTCGTCTCGCGTTTATTCGTGCTCGTAATTACTCTCAATTCTCGGCGCGTATTCGCGGAATTCGATGGTTCGACGGAGACCCGAGGATAATTAATGAAAATTCGATATTCGGCAAGCCGATTGCAAATTAAGGGATACTA